TGTTTATTAATATCTTTTTCAGATGGTTGATGCAGATGTGATTATTGAAAATAACAAGACACTACAGTTACTTATGGATCAAAATAAGTAAGTATTGTTTAAAGCATTTGTATTTATTTACAACAAGACTTACAGCAAGAAGAAATAATCTTTTGAGTTATTAACTTTCATTAAGCAATATATCAATCATGTAGGTTTTTACCGTTACCTCAAAAGACGTAAGCCTGTTAAAGAGACTGCAGTTTTCAAAATTCAGGGAGACGCTTTCATGGTAGAATACAAATAAAAAATGGGTGTCTTTCAATTAAAGTGGACCTAAATGACCACTCATGAACAGCCTCTCATCACAAGTGGTCAGATTTATATGTAGTCGAGACCAGTGATGGGATTTCAAAATTTTTCTTGTCGGACATTTTTCCCAAAAATAAATGGGCATAACTCTTATCGTTATTTAAGCAGGCGTTTTTAAACCACAATTAAGAATCACATGTCAACAAAATATTTAAATTCATATGTATTAAAAAATAGGTGCACCTAATAGAATGAAAGCGCGCTGACCCGTTCCTGTTTCAAATTCCTTCAAAATTACCATATTTTTCGGGGTATAAGTCAATACAGCAGAAGTCCGGCATTCATCTTATACTCGGTTTAGAATTATAAACGGAAGGTAAAAAAAATGATATCCCAAAATTTATTTGGCAGTAAACGTCGCTCTACCACAACGAGCGCGTGACAAAACTGCTAAGTAATCGCATTCGACCCTAGCACGTGTTGTTTAAAACAATTAATTACTTACATTATTCCAATCGAAATATTCGTCAAACATTTCTTAGCGTGCTTATTTATTTATTTAAAAACATAAACCCCCATTCAAAATATGATCATAAATCCGAGAATATGCCATCAAAATAGAAACTTTTCTCCGACATCAGACATATGACATTTGGCACGTTTACATCTCTTAATTTTACGTGACTCGCGAGATTTCTACTTTCATTTCAGTTATTGTACTATAACTGCCATGCATGTGTGTGAAATAGCTTTAGTTAAGTTCGGCTTCCATCGAAGAAATATCACAGACAAGTTATCGCAATCAGTGTATATTGATTTGGGGTGTTATATACTATTAGGATATGTGACATATATGACTAATTCCTACGTGTTGTCGACCGACATCAAAGAGATTGAAAACTCCGACAATGGAGAAATCACAGGTTAATCACGTAGATTAAGTTTATAATCACTCTTATTGGATTGATATATAGTCCGACAAAGGAGAAGCAATATGACTTCTGTTCAGGTTTGGAATGATGAATTGTCCGACAAAGGATTAAGTCAGCCAATCAAGGCAGATTAAGTAGTTAATCAAGGTAGGTGTATAGACAGTATAACATGATAACTACGTCGATCACTTAATTACCCAATCAATCCAGCCTATTAAAAACGATAATTGGGTTAAGTGGTAGTTATACACTCAGTACACTATATTGATTTTGGAATTTTGAATATTATTCACCATGTCTTGATGGGCATATTCCTGGTCGGACAATTTAGGACGTTTGGAAAATAGCGTTGGTCATGTCCAGAATATACGGGCGAAATCCCATCACTGGTCGAGACCATGCAATGTTTTTTTGTAATTACAGGACAATAGTAGGACCAATGTTTAATGCCAGTGTCATAGGATATTATTCCAATTTCTGGGGAGGGATGGACAAAAAGGTGAGTCACTTTACGTAAGTCAATTCGGTCAGTAATGGTTTTCTCAATAAAGAAAATACTTTTTCATATTTCAAAAATAAATTTTTATCGGAATTCAAAAAACTGTCATGAACAAGGATTTCACTAATATGTTAAAATATTGTATTTTAAATATATACCAGGTAATGGCAGGTTCTGGATAGTTCTTTACTTAATTAACTAAAAAGACTTCTATAACAAAACTGAGGCAATGTAAACAATAAGAGAGTTATCAAATCGCATAAAGAGATTTACACTGCACAATATGGCGTTTCAGACATATTGCAGGGAGAGATTGCTACATTTTTCATATTAATTACACTACCAGTTCCCTTTCATATTAACATGTGACAAAACTGTGTGTTTTGTATATTGCCTAGGCCCTTTGATCAAAGCCAAGCATTTTGAATTGACAAAAGAATCTTTTTTGCAATCTTGGCTCTTATTAAATTCTGTGTTTTACTTAACATTTTACTTTCAGGGTTATTATGTAAGAACAAAAGAATATTTGCAAATGGTTGACTGGGAAATTCGTGGATGTTTCCGTGTTCCCATGGTACACTCGGCTCTTTTAATTGATCTACGACGTAGTGTAACTCAGTATTTAGCTTACTCCCCATCACCACCTAAATACAAAGGACCATATGATGATATTATTATATTTGCACATTCTGTAAAGGCCGCAGGTTGGTATTTTTACTAGTGGTCGATGAATGCCAATTATACTATTCAAATATTCTATGTCGTTATTGGAATGCTATTCGAATATTGGATATAATCAAATGATCAATGTTTATTTTTATATGCCCACATTTTCATGTGGACGTATATTGTCTTTGCCCCTGTCCGTCCGTCCGTCCACAATTTGTTTGTGGACACTCTACAGGTCACAATTTTTATCAGATTTTGATGAATCTTGAAATATAGATCTATCTCCCACAGATCTTGGTTCCTTTCAATATTGGTCTGTATCGAACCATAACTTCATGAATTATGGCCCCTGATTGTATCGAGATCTTTGGGTTATAAACTTACATTTCAAGTTTCATCAAAATCAGAAGAAAATTTTGACCTCTAGAGGGTCCACAACCTTGATATACCATATTTTTACACTATTTGAGAACGAGGGACGGCCATTTTGTCTTTCATACTAAAAATTATGAACTCTACAGGGTCCACAAGCTACAAACGCGTTTTTTTGTACAATCAGGGGCCATAAGGAACCGAGATCTTTAGGTTATAAACTTACATTTCAAGTTTTAACAAAATCGGATAAAAATTGTGACCTCCATATGGTCCACAAGCTAAAAATGTGATTTTTCGTACAATCAGGGGCCATAATCCATGAAGTTTCGGTCCGATACATGCCAATATCGAAAGCAACCGAGATCGTTTGGAGATAAACCTATATTACTTCCACATGAAAATGTGGGCATATAAAAATCGCGTTTTTAGCTTGAGGTCCCTCATACACAATTAGTGTAAACATCTGGTATATCAAAGTTGTGGTCCCAAGGATCTTGGTTCCTTTCGATATTCGGGCATATCAGATAGTAACTTCCTGAATTATGGCCCCTGATTGTACGAAAAATCACGTTTTTAGCTTGTGGACCCTATAGCGGTCATAATTTTTATACGATTTAAAAAAAACGTTTGAATATATCACCATTACGCGAAAGGGTTTATACAGTTTGAATTTTGTGAAAATCGGGCCAAAACTGCCGGACAAAATGGCAGCCCCTCGTACGCAAATAGTATATCAAGCTTGTGGACCTTCTAGTGGTCACAATTTTGATCCGATCTTAATGAGAGTTGAAATACATGTTTATAACCCAAAGATCTTGGTTCCTTTCGATATTCGCGCGTATCCGAGCGTAACTTCCTGAATTATGGCTCTTGAATGTACAAAAAATCACGTTTTTAGCTTGCCGTCCATGTAGAGGTCACAATTTTTATCTGATCTAAAAAAACATGTGAATATATCACCATTACACACCAAGATCTTGGTTCCTTTTTTTTCCTATTTTAAAAACCATTTAAATATTCCACCATTCCACCATAATGAAGGTTGAATTCAAATTTCGGGAAAATCAAAATGAAACTGCCCGACAAAATGGACGCTCTTTGTACGCAAATTGTGTAAAAGTATGCAATACGAAGGTTGTGGACCCTCTAGAGGTCACAATTTTTATCCGATTATGATGAAACTTAAAACATATCTTTATATCCAAAAGATCCCAGTCCCTTTTGATATTTGCACATTTCAGACGATAACTTTCTGGATTATTTCCCCTGATTGTACAAAAAATAGCGTTTGTTTTTAGCTTGTTCTCTATCCATATCTTGCAAAATGTGGGCATATCCTCTCTGGCAGCCGCTGGTATCAATTTCTGTCAACTACTTCTAGAGTTATCGCCCTTGTTTCACTTTGTTGAACCATGTCAACATTCAAACAACAAAAGTTATTATCCTATCTGTATGAAATTTATATGCATAATTTGGAATAGTGAAACAAAGACTCCTATTGAATTTCAGCAATTTCTGTCAATAACTTTTAGGGTTATGGCCCTTGTTTCACTTTGTTGAACCTTGTGAACACTTGAACGACAAAAGTTATTGTCCGATCTGTATGAAATTTATACGTATTGTTTAAATTAGAAAAATGAAAAAATCTGTCGACTTTCAATAATTTCTGTAAATTACTTCCAGAGTTAAAGCCCTTGTTTCAGTTTGTAGAATCTTTTTAACTCTCAAATGACAACTGATCTGTATAAAAATTTTCTTGTAAATGCCCCCCATTACCTACAAAGGATAAATATGCGACAACCCTTGTCGACCGCTAGGATGATTTACCTGCTGTAGTCGTATATCTTTAATTGTCTGGAATAAGAGTTACAGTGGTTTTACCTTGACGTCGGGTATCAGGGCTGGCAGTAATGTGACAAACTTATTATTGAGTCAGGATGTTCTACACTCAGTTGTACACATTATTAAATTTTTGATTTTTTTTTTTTTTTTTTTTTTTTTTGCAGCAATATCAATGTTTATTCTAAATACAAAATATTTTGGTAAAGTAATGGTACCTTTAGATTGGCAATATTCTTTAAAGGAAGAAATAGATCAGTTTACTTACGTTAGACTTGAAACAATGGGTAAGTTATTCATATAAAGTTTATATAATTCCATCTATACATCTAGACTTGAAACAATTTGTAAGTTAGACTTGAAACAATGGGTAAGTTATTCACATCTAGACTTGAAACAATGGGTAAGTTATTCATAAAAAATTTGTATAATTGCAGCTAGTTGGAATGACTCTTTGGAATGAATGATTATGAAGAATTGAACTGATATATCATGTTATTTTTTAAATTACTTTATTGTTCTGGCCATATTTTTGATCTTCATTCCAACCTTCAGACTGCCACATATTTATTATTAAATTTCTTAATTTATCTGGCACTGGTAAGTCACCCATCGCATGAAAAATGGTGCCTCTACAGATATTAATATTGTAATTTTTGTGTTTATTTTATTGTGAGTGTTATATTCTTCCTGTACATAATATTAACATATACTTAGACTAAGTGTCATAGTTTATCATAATTCCTGGAAAGTGAAAACAAAAATGGGGAAATGAATGAAAGGCTCAAAGCATGTATAAAGAGAGAAAGAAATCGGGTTGTCGTCCACTCGACACAAACTAGATCATTTCGGGACTAACACGTGTTTCAATTTTATTTCAATAATTCACTTGTGCGTAGGGGTCTTTAGCAGTGGGAGGAAGCCGGAGGACCCGGAGAAAACCCACGCGGTTGGACAGGCGGCCCTATTCCTCGTCACGTACAAACGGGGATTCAAAACCATGCCAGTTGACTCAGTGACAGACTGTATGATACAGCGCGCACGTGCTAACCATTCGGTTTGAGGGGGCTCTCTGCCAAGCTGCAGAAAAATTTGAGATGTCACTACACTCTCTACATCATAGGATTAGGCCGAATTCTCGGGGTGAAAATCTTGTCCCCCTCCCTGCTAAACCGGTCTACAAATCGGACTATGAATAATCGTGCAATCAATATGTCAACAAAGTTCTCCAATAAAATTTGCGAATTTAATAGTTGAAGCCCGAAATAGGCTAGAAATCGATGACGTAATTCTTTATAGTGCGGAGCCATATTTGCGTAGATGTGAGTTGGATCCTGCGCAGCTATTTAAAATTTGGCCAATCGGCGGTCGCACTTGCGGGGTTGCGGTCAAAAATTCTGGGGTCAAGTGCCAGGTCATAGCATTTGTAAACAAAGCCATGTGCACGATTTACCTTGCAAATTGCTCGCGGTCGGGACGAACAGAGATTAAATGAACCCCAAAAACGCCCCATCCGTGTAGAGAAGTGGTGTATGAGAGCCACAAAAGGTATTTTGATCACACTGACATAAAATGTGGCAGTCAGTCAGGGTTTTTTCGACACTGATTAAGAATATTGTACCAGTCGATTTCATTACAAAAATGCCTTAATATCAAGGGAGATTACAGAAAATACAACAAGGTCACTGCTTCTATAAGTGTAATTCTAATAAAATCATTCATTTTACATAACAAAATACTTAAAATCTGTCTAGCCTTCTGTCTTAATAATGATCATGGATAGACTAGTGTATAGCTAAGATTAAGAATGAAAAAACATATTTTGAAATAAAGGTTGGGAACTTAAAAAGTTGCAGAAATATTAAGAATAAATGCCTAAATTATTTGAACTAGCTCAGAACTGTCAGGGAAAAGCCCATCTGGACGAAATAAAATTTTGCATCTACAATGTATAAGCTTACAATAGATATATGAATTCAAATAACACATGACTGTAATTAAAAGCTGTCAAAATTCATTCTCATATAGAAAAATGGGTTTTGTCTGCAATTGCAAATGAACCAGATGCCCCCCCCCCCCCATCAATATGGGGCTCACCTACGACATAATGTACATGTAATCATCGATAAAAGTACCAAACACACTTTCAATGTTCGAATCTTGCTTCTGATTAATAAATATTATCAAAACAGCAAAAGTGTTATTGGTGCTTTAAATAAAATAATAAAAATGCTGTTTTTATTTCTCACTGGACTAAATTGTCCCTCTTTTGTGTGACCTCCGCTCGAACATACTTGGATTTTTTCTTGCAAATTATACAGATCTCTGATAAAACTGACTTCTTTAACTCTGATTTAGTAGTATCAAGTACTGCACCATGATGTGATTCCTTTGGTGAGATTAATGAACGAGTAGGGGTGAATGAGACACACTTTTAGTTTTTAAAGTTGTTGAAGTACTAGGCCTAGTAGTAGGCGTTATGGACATAAAGGCCCTAAACCAAAATGGCTCAAGTATTTGGTCATAACGGTCAAACATTTTGGTCATAACTACACAACGGCCAAAACATTAGGGCCATAATGGCCAAAAAGAACATTTGAATTTTGATATATTATGTATCAAATGATATTTATTAATATAAATATTGCATAACATAATTGCATAATATAAATACCAATATTTCTTAATAGATAATATTTTCATATATATTTATTTAATACATAAATTTAAATACACTGTAGACATTTATACTTAATACACTGTATGACTATAACATACATAATTTACAAAGACATCTATTGAATATGGAGGGTGGGTGGCGAATGGTTTAACATGTACACATGAAATCATAAGGTCTGTCATTGCGTCAAGTGACATAGTTTCAATTCTCCGCTTGTACGTAACAAGGACTAGGGTCACTTGTTCAACCTTGTGGGTTTTCTCCGAGTCCCCCAGTTTCCTCCCTCTGATACAGACCCTTACACGCTAGCGAATTATTTAAATAAAAAGGAACCATATGTTGGACCCCAAAATGACCTACTTTGTGTCGTCCGGACATTAATGTTCAGCTCATGTTACTTTATCAGTGGGGTGTGTGAAGGGCTTTATTAGGGATTGTCAAAAACTTTGATTAATTAGTATCCCCCTCTTTCCTTTGAATCACAGCATGCAATGTTCTGAGTTGACTTGGATGGTTATATTCAATTTTCATTCACAAATTTTTCTGGACTTATGGTCTGTAGCCTTTATATGATGCACCATTATAACATTTATTTATTACTTCTACTAGTTTGAATAGAAGTGGTCATATCTTGTTGAAGGTTTGGTGAAATCGTTTTTAAAATATTATGTTATGTGTGAATTGTTATTTTTGTCGAATGATTAATATACTAATAGTCAGTTGTTAAATAATATTTGGTAAAATATATTATGACCATATCATCATCATGTGGTGACAGTTTTAGTTTCGGTTGGACTGAATGTAGACGCTGCCTTCTCACTCTTTTTTCTTTCTCGCATCTTTTAAATGTTTTGTTCCTAAAACATCTATAAAACATTGGGTGAAAACCAAAACCACTGCCGACTGTATCTTCAAATATCTTCGTAATAAATCCATTTGTATCGAAAAATGCTGCAATTAGTACAATGGATTGGTCATTTCCATCCAATTGAAACCAGTCTATAGCTACCTCACGACATTTGTCTCACCTTGTGTTTGTAAAGGGTTCTGCACCTCCCTTATTTACTGTCTAAGTGAACAATACAAGTTAATTGAGCCTTGGTCGCCATTTCGTGTAGCTTCTACAGGGATAACTGCACGCCATTTTGTGTTTACCAACAACACATGCGAATGTAGACAATACCGTGATTGGTCGATTGTGGAAAAAACGATCACGTGACGCGGCGAACAACGCTGAATTTTTGGTAGAAAATTACAAAAACCGAATATCTCTATACACTATACACTTGCAAAATTTCTTCTAGACCGGATTTGTAGGAACGAAAATATTTTTGCAACGACAATTTGTGCCAATGGAATGCGGCCTAGATGATTTAACTTTGATATATTAACCATTTGCCAAAAGATTCATATTAAAATTTCTTGTAATTCATTAATTACTACTTTTTAAATTTTAATTTGTTTATTATATATTTGTAGTTGATGGGCCACCATTATATAGATCTAAACATGTATATGTACCTCCTATACCAAAGAGTAAATTAGGTTTTGATGAGGTAAGATATTTAATCATAATCACACATCGAAATTGTTAGTATGACGACAATAAACTACTGCATTCCAATGTCATATAAAAGGAAAAATGTGCAAGTAATTAATGAGTTCCATCTATTTATTTTGGTTATATTCATATGTTATTTTTCTGTTCAGATTTATATGGTAAATCTGCTACGTCGACCCGAGAGAAGAGAAAGAATGAGAAATACTTTATATGATCTGGGAATAGATGCCAAATTTTTTGATGCTATTGATGGAAAGTAAGTTGGCAGTCTTAACAAAATATCTGATTTTTATTTTATTGAAATATTGTAAACTTTGTCACTTCTGTAAAGTGTATTTATTGTATATTTATATGGTAAATTTGCTACGTCGACCCGAGAGAAGAGAAAGAATGAGAAATACTTTATATGATCTGGGAATAGATGCCAAATTTTTTGATGCTATTGATGAAAAGTAAGTTTTCAGTCTTAACAAAATATCTGATTTTTATTTTATTAAATATTGTAATTTTTGTGGCTTCTGTAAAAGTATATTTATTGTAACTTAAAATGTTCCATCATTTTTTTTTTTTTTAAAGAAAATTGAATGATACGTATCTGGATAGTCTTGGTATTGATATGCTACCTGGATTTGCTGATCCTTACCATGGAAGGCAAGTATATATTGTTTATATCTCTATGAATCACCTATGTTGAATTGTTAACGTAGCTTACTTTTAAAATCCTTGAATTGAATTTTAATATAGTATTTTGCAGTGATTTAAAGGTGTGTTATCAAGACATCCTGGGTGAAAAAATTCTACTAATTATGTTATCCATTTCACTTGACTGCATTTAACAGTTATATATTTAATATATAAGTAATGTCTCCAACTAGAGTATATTTAATTTCAGGGCCTTAACAATGGGAGAAATTGGTTGTTTTCTTAGTCATTACACAATCTGGGAAGAGGTAATATACATCTTTTTTAGACTTTAGAAGTACTTTTTATACGCCCACATTGGAAATGTGGTCGTATATTGCCGTCGCCCCCGTCCGTCCGTATGTCTGTTCGTCGTCCACAATTTCTTGTGAACACTCTACACAGACTACATTTATTATCTGATTCTTTTGAAATTGATATATGTTGTTGATATTAGTGAGATGAAGAATCCTATTGATTTTCAGTGATTTCCGATAAGTCATTAGACAATCTGGGAAGAGGTAATATACATCTTTTTTAGACTTTAGAAGTACATTGGAAATGTGGTCTTATATTGCCGTCACCCCCGTACGTCTGTCCGTCGTCCACAATTTCTTGTGAACACTCTACACAGACTACATTTATTATCTGATTCTTTTGAAATTGATATATGTTGTTGATATTAGTGAGATGAAGAATCCTATTGATTTATGACCCTTGATCACTTTGAAAAATCTATATTCTAAAGTTAATATCTGATTGACTTTAAATTTATACACAGTGTTTAAGGTCATGAGACAAAGAAGGCTATTGATTTGCTCTGATTTCCGATAATTACTGCCAGAGTTATGGCCCTTGATCACTTTAAAAAATCTTGTCGACGCTCTAGAGGCTAATGATAATATATGATTGACTTTAAATTGATACAGTCTTTAAGGTCATGAGACGAAGAAGTCTATTCATTTTCAGCGATTGTCGATAATTACTGCCAGAGTTAGGGTCCTTGATCACTTCAAAATATCTTGTAAATGTTCTAGAGGCTAAAGTTAATGTCCGATTGACTTTAAATTTATACACAGTGTTTAAGGTCATGAGCCGAAGAATCCTATTGATTTTTAGCGATTGACTTTAAATTTATACAGTCTTTAAGGTCATGAAAAGAAGAAGTTTATTCATTTTCAGCGATTTTCGATAATTACTGCCAGAGTTATGGTCCTTGATCACTTCAAAATATCTTGTAAAAGCTCTAGAGGCTAAAGTTAATATCCGATTGACTTTAAATTTATACACAGTGTTTAAGGTCATGAGCCGAAGAAGCCTATTGATTTTCAGCGATTTTCTATAATTACTGCCAGAGTTATGGTCCTTGATGACTTTGAAAAATCTTAATATCTGATTGACTTTAAAGTTATACACAGTGTTTAAGGTCATGAGACGGAGAAGTCTATTCATTTTCAGCAATTTCCGATATTTACTGCCAGAGTTATGGTCCTTGATCACTTCAAAATATCTTGTAAATGCTCTAGAGGCTAAAGTTAATATCCGATTGACTTTAAATATATACACAGTGTTTGATTTTTCCGATAATTACTGCCAGAGTTATGGTTCTTGATGACTTTGAAAAATCTTGTGGACGCTCTAGAGACTAAAGTTAATAACCGATTGACTTTAAATTTATACACAGTGTTTAAGGTCATGAGACGATGAAGTCTATTCATTTTCAGCTAAAGACCCTTCCCAAACAAATTATCGAAATGAAATTGAACCATGTGTTAGTCCCAAAATGACCTAGTTTGTGTCGTGTGGACATTAAACCCCATTTCTCTCTCTCTCTCTCTCCCTCTCCATTTCCTTAGACTGTAATTTACCCCAAAAAGCCATATACCCATACATGTATAATCTAGTAATTTTTCTCATGTGATTTATTTACAGATGGTGTCAAAAAATTATGAAAAAATTCTAATATTTGAAGATGATGTTCGATTTGAACCATTTTTTGATCGTAAACTAGCAAAACTGATGAAAGAAGTTGAGGAGTTTGTACCTAACTGGGATCTAATGTATGTTGATTTTATATCATTCTTGTATTTTCACATGATGCTGTTTTTAAGACATTGAGAGAGTACTTTGTGATAATAAGTTACATTGAAGAAACATGTAAAGCATTTTTCCTATAAATTTTATTTGCTACTTATTTTGAGTTCCATCTTGTTATTTCCTACTAAAATATTGAACATACAATGGACTCTGTCTCTTCCGACATCGTACGAGATCGATGCAATATGCCGGATTATACAGCATGATGGAATACTCAATTGTCTTAATACCGGAAGAATTATTGTACCTCAAATACCAGAAGTATGCACACATTATGAACACATTATTATAATGATAGTGATTCTTCATCTCGGCAATTTATAATAAGGTCGCTTTATAAAATTATCAAGGTAATCAACAAAGACCAACACATGTTTTAAGCTCACCAATAATTGATGACAGATTTCACAGAATGCCCCAGTGTTCAGATGTCGGAAGTGACAGAGTCCACTGTAATTGCTTAATAATTGATCCAGCAAATTTATTGGGTTTATTATTTCTAGTTACCTAGGTAGAAAAAGATTAGATCGTGACAGTGAAATTATGGTAAAAGGCAGCTCAACATTAATCTGGCCGAGTTATTCATACTGGACTTTAAGTTATATTCTGTCGAGGAGAGGGGCTGATAAATTATTATCACATAAACCTTTACATCGAATGGTGCCAGTTGATGAATATCTTCCTATATTATTTGATAAACACCCAACGTAAGTCATTGATTTATCCAAACCTTTATGACAAGCTAATACTACTGTATTTATAACTGTGTTATCTATTAACTGAATATGTCTTATTTTATACTACATATAATAAATGAAAATCATAAAGTATTTATTGAATAGCAGGACTTCAATTGTTCCAACTACTTGATACGCTTCCTTTGATTCCCAAATGATTTAATAATATTGCATGTTTTTTTTATTTTCATGCTCTTTATTCCACACATTTCTCAAACTCGTGATATTGTAGTGACTATAAAATCTTTATGCCAAATCTATGTCATACCATACAAACCAAACGGACTGATTGGTTCAAATTTAATTCACCTGTTTCTTTATGTTTTCAGAGAAGAGTGGAAGATACAGTTTAAACCCAGGAATCTAGTTGGTCTGTCTGCTGAACCTCTATTACTCTATCCAACACATTATACTGGAGAAGCTAATTATTTCTCAGACACCGAAGAATCGTCAGTTATTGAAACTGAAGACTACGATACAGATAATGAAGAATCATTAGTTGGAAATACTGAACGTTTTAATCCAAGTAAAAATATGGATCTCCTGTCTAAAGATGAATTATAGGTCTTCTGACACACACTATCTTGAAAACAGCAGACAAAAGATATTTTGTAGTTTGATTTGCAGAATCCATCCAATTATTCTTTTGGTAATGAGATATAGTTTGTCACATATAGTTGTTTGCATATTAGCCAGTTTTCATTTTAAAAGTGAATGTGAGTTTTATAGTATGAGTTAGCACAGGTACACTGTATGGTATTTATTTGTTAAAATGCAGTGTAAAATCCATAGAAACCATTCAGTTCTCTCTGTTTACTATCCAATTTTTTCGTAGCATTTACAAACTGTGTTTAATTTGATTGGTTCATAAGTTGGCAAGAAGCTTCAGACTCTTCAATAGAAATTTGATCTTACTAATATACATACAGTTAGAAACTAAGAAATCTCCTATTTTGTTAATAAAGACTACGACAAGTTGGGATATTGTTATACTCCAGTGACATTCACTGAAACTTGCATCTAAAGGAAGATTCTAACTGTAAATAGTATTATTCATAACATATCACAACACAAGCATATATGGATATAACTACTTCTCTATTATTTAATAACCACGTTTCGTAACATGTGACTTGTATGTGTTACGAAACGTCGTTGTTAAGTAATAGAGAAGTAGTTAAATCCATATATGCCTTGTGGTGTTTTGTCATGAATAGTTAACCATGCTTCTTGATGTCATTTAAAGAATTAACACTATTTTTGAATGGAATTATTTGGGATGATTATTGTTCCCCCTCCCCTAAGAAAGCAGGGCACTATATAGGTCTGTCTGTCCCTTCCGTCACACTATTTAGGACACAATAACTCTGCTTCTAATTATATACTGTAACTTACTGTAACTGCTGCCTTTTTTAAATTTGTGACTTCTAAGTTAGAATGTTCAAATGTTGTGTATATGTTTTTTTAGGTAAGCGTCATCTATTTAGTTTGGAATTGAGGTGAAGGAAATCGGTCTAACTGTTGGCTTGTCTCTCCTATTATAATTTCAGCATTTGTGTTTAAACATGTGTTCTCATTTATTTATATATTTTTCTAGGGAGTTTGTTTTGTCCCATTTTGATTAACTATTTTATATTTTGTATTCTTTTCTTTTTCAAAATGCAATACTGTTTTAGTTTCGTGCCAAATTTCCCTAGCTCAGTGTATTTTGGATATCAAAAGAAAAAACAATTAAATCAAAAGTCCTAAAATTTCAATATTCTGTGTGAACAATTTTTCATCCCCTTGAAATTACAATTCTTTGCAATATAATGTGTGAAATAATAATTTTCATGAAAAGTTTTGTCTCCCATATTAAATGTCTTTTCTTTTATCATAAGAAGTCATGTCTCAATCAACATTTCTAGAATGTGCGCAAAAAAAATAATTGACTCAGATGGAGGTTATAAATAAAAAAAATAAGATGGAAATGAAATTAAGATACCAGAAATTGATAAAGGGATGTACATACTCAAAAGGGGTAGTATCTAAAGTGAAAAGACTGTTTGCATGTTTTTAAGTTTGTGTAATTCGATAAGCAATTACGTGATATTTTATGGCCTGAAATCAGATTTGTATTGATATTTAGTCCAGCTATAAAAAATAGTGCCATCAAGTCCTGTCTAGTCTATGTCAAGTACTAGTTATAGCAACCCATCTAGAAATTTCTCAATATTTTTCATCTAGATTTTTTAACTTCATGTACTTCAGGCGAATTGTGATATCATTGTTGATCTATTTCAACTTGTTTTGATTAAGTATGAAAATGGGAGGTTGTAATATACAACTGTACATATGTTCATCATGTATCTTGTTATATTACTGTATCCATGACTTGTATAATATGTATTATGCATGTGATATATATGTATCCTATATTAACTGTGATTGTATATCATTAATCTTAAATATGTGTTTGCTTTTCTGAAACCACAGAAAAATTCATTTGGTTATAATGTGCAATATTGTATGAATATGAGGTGCTATTAACTTCCAGATAGAACTAATCTCAAATTACTATTTTATGGCATCTATAGACTACATTAAAAAGGAAATGTGACAGAAAGCCAACAAAATTTTCATTTTCAAAAGGAAATGGAATTGTAGATTATCTTTAGAATTCGATTTTCACAAAGACAAATGATATATATCAAACCAATGGGCAATGCAGGCACATAAATTTGTGTTGTGAAATCAAAATGAACTAATGTAAGCTTCAAATAGAATTGGATGATTTAAATAAATTTTCTTAAGATTACTTCCATTTGTGTATGATTTTAATCTATATTTGACCGTTAATCTGACATGTTGTCCATTTAATAAATTATGTTCAGACAGCTTTTGACTTTAGTAAGTTATGTACAGTTCAAAATCTGTTGGGTTATTTGTAAAGTGGTGCTTTATACTTTGCTAGAGCAATGTCTTGTTTTGTTATTCATTGTATGTTATCCTCTTATTCAGTGTGCCAAAATGCTCCGGCTAATATATTTAACATTATCCAAATTAAAATGTTTCATTAATGAGGTATCCTGTGCCATTAATATGTATTATTTGATCGGTTGTTTAAATGATTTTTTTCACAATAACCACTTTCATAGTCTTCGATCTGTTAACTTTATTATTAGAACAATTTTTGAGTGCACAGTGCACCTTTACCTGGACAATTCATCTGTATTAGAATTCATTTTATCCTTCCATTTTATTGATATTATCTTTTTTGCATGTTATTTCATGTATTTATAGAGTTTATGAAATAGTAGATTTGACTAGAGTTTATTTTGCATGCTTATTTTAGTGTTTTTTTAGATGAATTTATTAGCTACAGTTTGTACACCTTCTGTTAATTTATCAAAGAAAAGAAGAAAACTAAGACTTTTACAAAGCCTAATTATGAGCTAATAAATAATACATTATCTTTAATTTGTATCCTAATGTTTTAGATATTTTTACAATAACTGTCAACAATCTTTAATAGCAAAAGATTTAAAATGGCTGGACAATAAGGTTGATTTCATGGGCATTTATATAATAATTTGTGTCATTTTGTTTGTGGACTGACATTCTTTTATTGAAATTTTTAGTCTTGATAAAGCCAGTGTATACAATTTTGTGTTCCACTGTGAGCCAAATATAAAACAAAAATGAGTAAACATACTGCATGATTTTTCAAATGGAGCTTTCCCCATCAAAATAACACATTAAATCAACTCTATTCAAAGATCTAAATTAAAGATGGTAAGTTTATTTAATTACAACAACTAGTTGTGGTTTGTTTTTTTTAAAAAAATGGCTTATTTGATGTCATATACACCATTCAGCTCAAATTTCACTAAACAGAATTTTTTGGGGTCTCAAAGGGTTTTACATTTATTTCACTTCTATTCTTTGTCAAATCTAAAATATGTCTGTTTACTTAAATGTAAATGCATTATTGTAAAATGTGGGAAAAAAATAAAATATATTTTTACATGGTTAGTGTATTTAGTTCCTGCAACTTTTGAAACACAAGTTTTAAAGAGGGGTAGACTATTCAGGGGAAGTTACTCTGTTCTCTTGCTCTCTAGAATAATATGGATACATTGAGTCTGTAGCAACATTTGTTTACAATAACAACCGTTACAGTTTGTAAGTAAAGACAGTTTTCTGTACTTTGGGAAAGTATGGCGGGTGCCCAGACATTTGTTGATGCCAAGTTAGCACAAAAGAAAGTTTTGTTGTTCACAAAGAGTTACTGTCCAGAGAGTGAAACCGCTAAAACTGTTTTAGATGGATATAAATTGATGTTGAAAGATTTCGAAGTTGTAGAAATTGAAAAACGTCAGGACTGCATACAGATAGAAAATTATCTCCATCGTTTGAGTCTTACAAATTCTAGAGTGGTAAGTCAACATCAAGTAACATTGACAAACAAAAATATTGATATTATTGAATGACTCGATTCACCATATTCCCAAAGGCTAAAGCAATAGTAAATTGTTTTCAAATGGCATGCCTTTCAAAATCCCATTTATTTAAAAAAAAAAAAAAAAATGGAATTGGACATCCGAGATAACCCCACTTGCAAATAGTTTGGAATTTCAAAACATTCATAGACTTCTTGAACCAACACATGATTGCTTGAATGGCCAGCCCCCAAATTCTCCCTAGAAGCAGTGCTCATTGTAACTGTGAAGAAGGAACATCATGTTGATTTCGTAATTAAATCTTAAAGGAGCTAAATCGCTAATATTTGGGACCTAGAAATTGACACAAATGGGTCGCAACGCATATAAAAATGTAATATGAATGTAAACTGATTTACATTCAATCGTTTCTGTTTTAAATCTAATATCAAATTAGATATGTTCAGTGAAATATGTCAGAAGTCTTAATCGAATGGCAATCTCTACCGTCTGATTATTCCAGTCTACACTGATAGTATTTATTGTGCATGCTCTCTAGATAAGAATATGGTTCACCGTTTGTCATGACTTCAACACGAGTCCCATGTTACAAATGGCACTGAAACGCATTATGGTACACGATTCATGTACCTACCGATGGTAAAATGTTTATTTAGTCTTAAATATCAGAAGCCCATCTTTTCCTGGTAAGATCACAACATCAATGTTGATTTAAATTGACAAATAATTTGTATTTTCAATGTCAAATACATTTTAGTGTGAATTATTAAAGCTGTGAAAAATTAGATATTGTCAGAAAAATTTGAATGACATCAGCAGATGAAGGCTGATGTAGCCTACTTCTGTTCAGAAGGGACTATAGTACCCTATCTTCATATTTATGTCTTTTCTCTTCACCTGCATCACAATATGACCCAGTAGTTACTCAAATCTAATTGATTTGTTGAACCTTTAGTATAGTATTGTAGATCCTTCTTTATCCCCCCTCATTAATTAGTTACAGACCTGCTTCCCTTTCATGAAAACATATGTATGTCAAGTGACATATACCATGGACCTTATAATTATAAGGTCCATGCACATACACATAATTTCAATAGATCAGAGTTGTTGAACAGTAACTAGTATACATGGGCTACTATTATTGTAAATTAATATTTGATGGTTACCAAATTGGATGAAATTATTTTCTTGAGAGTTATATTTTCATCTAATTTATTGCAGACACCCCAGTTATTTGTAGCAGGAAAATATGTTGGCAGTGATATGGATATACCTCGTCTCCATAGTAATGGACAACTAAAACAAGTTCTTCAACAAGCTAAAGTTATCTCATAACACTCAATATTTAGAACAAACTTAATCTAGATGTATTTGTAAATGTTTATTATTTATGTAAATATGTACATATATTCATAATATTGTAATACAATAAAAACCTGAATTTGGTGACCTAAAAATGCAAAATACAATATCTGTCCAATATCCAGCACAATTTGTTAAATCTTTTATGAGTATTACCTCAACCATGTATACTTGAATTTATCAACAAAAAGAGACCTCTACATTTAAAAATACCATGAACCCTGATTTACATTTTAAAGGGACTATCCCAGAGTCTCAGAAATAAAAGTCTGTGTACATATTAAATTTAAACAGCAAAATATAGAGGAATGGTGTATTTATGTTGTCTGGTAAATTTCACCTATAGGTTATTTTTATAAATAAAAGTCTGGTTTTATCCAGACACCATATGATGCAGCTTGGGACACCAAATGAAGATTGACGGGTTTAAGCAGTTATATTCTTTGTTAACTTGGTGAGTATTCTGCAAATGCCTCTAATATAAAATCACACAACTTATTTAGTAGAGGAACAGTCACCGAGCAAGGCCTGTTAACAGCTTGTAATATACTATTCAAAAAAAGTAGGGGATATTTGATTTTTAAGTGTTATTAAAGTCACCTAATGAAACTGACGAAGAAAGAAATGACAAAATGAAATGAAGTTCACATTCATCGATTTATTCCAAATGATCGTTACACTAAGTAAGGCACAGACTGACCATTATAAGGGTAAAATGATACCCGGGGTCAAACAGCAAAGTTACCACAGCATCACAACCAAGTCAGTAACGGGTAAATCCTCCTCTGTTTGCCAAACAAGCATTGATCCGACGTGGCATACTCCTAATGAGACGTCTAAGGTCATTTTGGTCCAGATTGTCCCATTCCTGTTGCAACGCAGCAGCAAGTTCTTGGACATTGGCAGGACGTTGTTGACGTTGACGTAACCTCTGTCCAAGCATGTCCCAGACATGCTCGATGGGGGAGAGGTCGGGACTCAGTGCTGGCCAAGGTAATGTGGTGATGTTCTGTTGTTGGAGGTAACCTGTAACGATCCTGGCCCTGTGACATCTTGCGTTGTCATCCTGGAAGATGAAACGGCGGCCATGACGTCGTGCGAACGGCACAACATGGACTGCCAAGATGTTGTCCCGGTAGTACTGGCCTGTAACACGCCCTGCAACAACATGTAAAGCCGTTCTTCCAGCAACAGTGATGCCTCCCCACACCATAACAGAACCACCCCCAAATCGATCATGTCTGATGACGTTAACGTCTTGGAAGCGCTCGTTTCGACGACGCCACACCCTCCTACGTCTGTCCAAAAAATCAACAGTGAACCTTGACTCATCTGAAAACATCACATTGCTCCAGCGTCGATTATCCCAGTGTTGACGATCCCTACACCAACGACGTCTTGCCTGAATGTGATGATCTCTCAAACAAGGGATCACGCGAGGACGTCGGGCGCGAAGGTGACCCCTATGCAGTCGATTCCGAATCGTCTGGCCACTCACTCTCACACCAGTGTCTGTTTGAAGACGAGCGCTGATCTGATTTGCTGTGATGACACGATTTCTCAAGGCCAAGGTACGGATAAATCGATCCTGGGCTTGAGTTGTCGCCCTTGGTCGACCTGAGCGTGGTCTGTCCTGTACAGATTGTGTATCACGGTATCTGGACCATAGCCTGCTTATGACAGACTGAGAAACATTCATCGTCCGCGCCACAACCGCCTGTGTTGTGCCGATCTGTAGCATGCCAAGGGCACGTAACCTTTCATTTTGGGTAAGCCGACGCATATCAAAATTTGTTTTCTGGTCACTAAAACAATTAAACTGATGTTTCCACCCTGGAATTCAATGCCACAATGACTGTAACATTCAAAGTCAGAGTCGTGCAAATCTTGGGTTGGACCCCCATGATGATCCCAAGCATCACCTGCATTCCATGCGGTAGCTATTGGTGCGTTTGGGCGTCACATGTAACTGGAAATGTTTCTTCTGTTAGGTTCTATAGTGACTTTTTTCGTAGTCATTTGCATATTTTAGTATTATGCCCCCAAAATCAAATATCCCCTACTTTTTTTGAATAGTATATAAGAGGCCTTGAGCAGATGTTTAACCACCAGCTACTACTACTAGGCCTTTACCTTGCACAGTTACACATATGAATTCAATCTCCAAACAGAGTTGTCTTCCCTTGCAGTCCAAACTATCTCTGCTAACGGCTCATTTGACTACGCCACCAAGATTCTTGGTGTTGATGGACAATGATAAACAATATGATTTAAAACAAATAAATGATAATATATTTAATACTATTACCATATATAAATAGAAATGGGGTCACAATTGCAAAATGTCAATGTATTTACAAATATTACAGGAAACTCTTCAGCGTAAGATTACAAATGAAATGAAATGAAATGAAATGGGGTTTAACGTCCTACTGTTCCGCTCCTATACTGGGCCAATGAAGACGGGCATATGCCATACAGTGTGCTATGAGGGAAATTTTGCCCTGGCAGCGGCACTATCGCCTACTCTTATATCGAATTCCAACTGCCAGGGGATCTTTTACGTGCATTCCAATATATACACGGGACCTCGGTTTTTCGTATCATCCGAAGAACTAGACAGCTGTCCTTGTCAGCCCTCCGTTCTGCACCACTGACAAGGGGAAACCACGTCGGAAAATCTGGATGAACTTTCCGGAATTAGCATGTAAGATTACAGGGTTAAATGGTCGGAAATACGAACTGCACATGACGCCATGCTAATTTTAGAATATAATACATGTCGATCTGTTTACCATTATAATGCGATCGTAAGGCATAATACATTTACACATGAAACATGCAAAATTAGACTGTTTTCTTTTGGAGGGGTAATAATTGATGACATTTACCCCTAAAATTGACTAAAACTCATCAAGTGTTTATAATGCCAGGAACTTTTCTGACAGATGTCATTAGTTATTCAAGTGACCAATGACCTCTAGGTCAACCAGTGTAGTGCGTGAGCCGTGGGCAGAGTCGAATGCTGGATGGCGAGACTTGTGTGGAGAGTGATATGAATTCAGATCTTTTGGACAAAACAATATATTTCAAAATGGCTTAAACCGACAATGTCTGAAGTATCTTTTCATGCGGTATCAATTTCTTGTAGCATGAACACTTGTGTTATAACTGGTCCATTCTTGGATTTATACACTTGTTGAGCACAGAATAAAGTTTATTGGCTTATGTCATTTGAAACATAACTTTGGAGTAGTTATGTCTGTTACTACAAATTTAAGTTCCTTCTAGCTCCATTCTTTGTTGTACTAAGCCAATTATCTCTGACGTTACTTCTGGTTTTAACATATCTTTAACCTGATGAAAAGTAAATATTTTCTGGGGAAATAACTAAATAAGTAACAATCTTTTTAATACCACGTTAACTATCAATTAAATTTCGTTTCTGATTTACTCTTAAAGTAACAACTATATTTACCTAATGTCGGCAAAAATAATAAACAAAATTTTTAAATGTAGATTATTCACTTTAAAATAATGCTATATAGATGTTAATGATATATATGCAGTTTTCAGACTTAACAACTGGTCACATGAATCAGAACATCAGAGCACACTTATATTTGATGCTTTTATACTTACTGTAAATGATAATGATGCTTCATAAGCATACATGATACTTGTATCATATATAATCATATGGTGATCAGCTAAAGCTAATATACTGTTTCTTAATCTAGCAACCACAATACGAACATCATTTGGTACAGGCTGAAAAGTAGTTTAATCATGTACGTAGTCAAACTCAAAGAAGAGTTTTTACAGTAGTTTCAAATTCTATCGGACTTGAAAAAAATAAACCTCTAGGTTCTGGTTTAATAATAAAATTGTCAATTTCATTGGATACACGTGCTTTAAAAAATGTATGTTTCAAGATAAAATCATGGCAGTGTTGAGATATGATCAATTGTGTATTCCACAGATGTTGAGTTTATCCAATCAATAATCAAAATAACATATCAACTGAAATCAATCTTTATATTTGACTGATATCAAAGAGGTTAAACCTATTTCAATTTCACAAAAAGTTATTTCAACAAAAAATACTTTAATTAACATGACACCAATAGTGAAGCCAATAGTGTGGCCTCTGTCTCATACTCATATGTTTAAACCTTGAACTATCTGAGAAAGAGAGAGAAATGGGGTTTAACGTCCACTCGACACAAACTAGGTCATTTCGGGACTAACATTTGCTTTAATTTTATTTCAATAATTCGCTTGCGCGTAGGGGTCTTTAGCAGTGGGACGAAACCGGAGGACCCGGAGAAAACCCACGAGGTTGGACAGGCGACCCTACTCCTTGTCACGTACAACCGGGGATTCGAAACCACATCAGTTGACTCAATGACAGGCTTTATGATACAGCGCGCACGTGCTAACCATTCTGCCATCCAACCCCCCTTGAACTATCTAATGTATTAGCTAGCAAGGAGTTTGCTGGATCAAATATAAATATTAAAAATCCAATAACACATGCAACATCTTTAGACTGTACTGTATTCAGCAAAGACAGGTTGCCAGGCAACAAAACATACGCCCACAGCAGCTAAATCGTCCGATTGGTCGACAAGGGTTGTAGCATATTTATTCTTTGTAGGTAATGGGGGGCATTTCCATGACAATTTCATACAGATCAGTTTGTAATTTTCGTTGTTTGAGGGTTAAGTTAAAAAGGTTCTACAAACTGAAACAAGGGCCTTAACTCTAGAAGTAATTTACAGAAATTGTTCAAATTCGACAGACATTTTCGTTTTACTAATTTAAATAATGCATATAAATTTCATACATATCAGACGATAACTTTTGTTGTTCGACTGTTCACAAGGTATAACTCTCGAAGTAATTTACAGTAATTGCTAAAATTCAATAGGATTGCTTGTTTCACTAATTTAAATGATGCATAAAAAATTTCATACAAATTGGATGATAACTTTTGGTGTTTGAGCGCTCACAGGGTTCAACAAAGAGAAACAAGAGCATCGCTAACGCTGCAATATACGTCCACATTCCAGCTTTGATTGATATGGTACTTTTTAAAATGAAGAGAATGAAATATGAAATGGCTGTAATATGATCAGAGGCAAAGAAGGCTAGGCGTCTGGTTTGTTTTGCCAAATTTACAGAAATGAAATGAAATGGGGTTTAACGTCCTACTGTTCTGCTCCTATACTGGGCTAATGAAGACGGGCATACGCCATACAGTGTGCTATGAGGGAAATTTTGCCCGGGCAGCGGCACTATCGCCTACTCTTATATCGAATTCCAACTGCCAAGGGATCTTTTACGTGCATTCTAATGTATACACGGGACCTCGGTTTTTCGTCTCATCCGAAGGACTGGACAGCTGTCCTTGTCAGGCCCTCCGTTCTGCACCACTGACAAGGGGAAACCACGTCGGAAAATCCAGATGAACTTTCTCGGCCAATGCAGGGATCGAACACCCGACCTCCAGGCTAGCGAGCCAGCGTCTTAACCACCCAGCCACCCCAAATTTACAGACAAAATACTAACAATAAAGTGGGTGTGACACTGCCCCAAGAGGTCGGGGCAAGTATCAAAATAAATAGTTGCTGTCTTTATGGTATAAGGAATAAATATGCAAAGTTCCAAGATGATCCATTCAGAATTGCAGCCTGTAGACGATAAATACAAAAATTGGGCATGGCTCTGCCCATGGGGGTTGGATATGGAAACAATATAAATAGTTGCCGTCCTTAGGGTATAAGGAATAAGTACTCCAAGTTCCAAGATAATCCATTCAGAATTGTGGCCTTTGGGCGTTAAAGGGAAAATTGGGCGTTGCTCTGCCCCTGGGCATTGGGGCATTCACCAAAATCAATAGTTGATGCCCTTAGGCTATAAGGAATACATATGCCAAATACCAAGTTGATCCATCCAGAATTTGGGCCTGTAAACGATAAACATAAAAATTGGGCATGGCTCTGCCCCTGGGGGTCGTGACATGCAGTTGTCGTCCTTAGGCTATAAGGAAAACATATCCCAAGTTCAAAGAAATCCATTAAGAATCGTGGCCTGTAGGCAACTCACAGAGACACAAAGAAAAAATGGGTGTGGCTCTGCCCCTGGGGGTTGGGCAATCACCAAAAAAATAGAGGTCAGCCTTAGGGTATAACGTATAAGTATAAAAAAGTTTTCAAGATGATCGATTAAGCATTGCAGGCTGTAAGTGACATACAGACACACAAAAAGAAAATGGGTGTGGCTCTGTCCCTGGGCATTCACCACAAACAATAGGGATGTTCCTTAGGATAGAAGGAGTATGCATGCAAAGTTTCAAGGTGATACGTTATGAAATGTGGTCTGTAGATAACGAACAATGAATACAAGAAATGGGCGTGGCTCTGCCACTGGGGGTCGGGCATGCACCAAAAACAATAGGATCATCCTTAGGGTATAAGGAATTCATATGAAATTTTTTCAAGACGATGGATTAAGAATTGTGGCCTGTAGGCGACAGACACACAAAAAGAAAATGGGCTTGGCTCTGCCCCTGGGGGTTGGGCATGCACCCCAAACGATAGGGGTGTTCCTTAGGGTACAAAGAATAAGTATGCAAAGTTTCAATATGATGCGTTAAGAAATGCGGCCTGTAGACGACAAACAAACAAATACAAGAAATGGGCGTGGCTCTGCCCCTGGGGATCGGGCATGCACCAAAAACAATAGGGATCATCCTTAGGGTATAAGGAATAAGTATGTAAAGATTCAAGATGATAACTTAAGAATTGTGGCCTGTAGGCGACACACAGACACACAAAAAGAAAATGGGCGTGGCTCTGCCCCTGGGGGTGGGTATGCACCCCAAACGATAGGGATGTTCCTTAGGGTACAACGAATAAGTATGCAAAGTTTCAATATGATACGTTTAAGAAATGGGGCGTGGCTCTGCCCCTGGGGGTTGGGCATGCACCCCAAACGATAGGGATGTTCCTTAGGGTACAAAGAATGTGTATGCAAAGTTTCAAGATTATTAGTTAAGAAATGTGGCCTGTAGACGACAAACAAACAAATACTAGAAATGGGCGTGGCTCTGCCCCGGGGGGTCGGGCATGCACCAAAAACAATAGGGATCTTCCTTGGGGTATAAGGAATAAGTATACCAAGTTTGAAGAAAATCCATGAAGAATTGCGCCCTGTAGGCGAACCACAGACACACACACACACACACACACACACACACACACACACACATACATACATACACACACACACACACACAGACAGGGGCGACGGCATAATACGTTCACATTATGAATGTGGACGTATAAAAAGGGCCATAACACTAGAAGTTATTCACGGAAATTGCTGAAATTCAATAGGCTTCTTTGTTTCAATAATTTAAATGATGCATAAAAAATTTCATACAGATCGGATGATAACTTTTGGTGTTTGAGCGGTCACAGGGTTCAAAGAGAAAAAAGGGCTATAACTCTAGAAGTAATTCACAGAAATTGCTGAAATTCAATAGGCTTTTTTGTTTCACTAATTTAAAGAGAATATCCCGATTTGAACAGAGTCTCAAATATAAAAGTCTGAGTACGTATGAAATTTAAGCGCTAAAATATAGAGGAATGGTGTATTTACCTAGTCACAAAATTTCAGCTCAAAATATTGAGTTGTTTGGACGTGAACGTCAAAATTTAAATGATGCATATATATTTCATACAGATCGGATGATAAATTTTGTTGTTAGAGCGTTCACAAGGTTCAACAAAGTGAAACAAGGGCCATAACTCTAGAAGTAATTAATCGAAATTGCTGTTCTTTGCTCCACTAATTTAAATTATGCATATAAATTCCATACAGATGGGTGATAAATTTTGTAGTTAGAGCATTCACAAGGTTCAACAAATAATGATATTGAATGATTCACAACAGGTTCTGCAAATGGGTTCTGTGCGCAGTAATAAGAACACCAAATTGTCTGGCACGGGGAGACTGTGTTCCATAGTTATATATACTGTAAATTATGAAGCCTATAAAATATTTCTTAAAGCTAATAAGCATGCCTACGGAAGACCATTAGGGTCAATCAAATCCAAAAAAAAAAATAATCTTATTATCTTGTAATTACACAATAAGCTATCACGATAGACTACAAAATTTGGGTCAATCACCCGAAAAAAACTAGTTTATTTCAAGGTCACCCAACACTAATTTATCGGCATTAATGAAACATTTATCGTCGGTAATGAAACATTTATAATACACTAAAATCTGATTAAGAATAACAACTCATTAAGTAATTATCAGAAAATCATTAGAATTTGTTTGGCTTTTATAAAGTTCTGCCTCATGCTAACGTTTAGTATATGAAACATTTAATATCATGGAATTAGCTGTTCAAGTTATCAAAATTCATTGAAAATCAATATACTTGTTCATCTCAAGACCTTAAACTATGTATGAATCTAAAGTCAATTGGATGATAACTTTAGCCGGTGATCAAGGGTCATAACTCCAGCAGTTATTATCCGAAATCGCTAAAATCAATAGACTTCTTCGTCTCATGACCTTAAACAGTGTGTTTAAGTCAATCGGATATTATCAAGGGCCATAACTCTGGCAGTAATTATCGGAAATCATTTAAAATCAATTGGCTTCTTCGTCTCATGACCTTAAACACCGTGTATAAATTTAAAGTCAATCGGATATTTAATTTAGCCTCTAGACTAGAGCATCCACAAGATTTTTCAAAGTGATAAAGAGCCATATCTCAGGCAATAATTATCGGAAATCATTGAAAATCAATTGGTTTCTTCATCTCATGACCTTAAACACTGTTTATGAAATTAAAGTCAATCGGCAATTAATTTCAGCCTCTAGAGCATCCACAAACAATTGTGGGCAGCCGGACGGATTGGGGGGGGGGGGCGACAATATACAATCACATTTTAATGTGGGCGTATAAAAACTGTGTAAAGTCAAAACAAACGAAAATAAAAACAGCCAAAAATCAAAATTTAAAGAAGTTTTCAGAAAAATATAAATAGCATTCTGTGGCTTTAAGGAGAGCTTTAAAATTGATAAATCATGATATTTATAAATGATCTGAATGGTGGGAGTATAAAGTTAATGAGAGTATGAACTTTATGATTTTAATTGAGGCATGAAAATAACGAATAATTATGGGAGCATGACATAAATGTGCTGCCGATCCTGTAACATAAAATAAAGTACGGTGTTGGCCTAGCTATTCAATAAATCTGTGTATGGCGACCTTAAAATAAGTTAATTATGGGCTTCAAGTATGAAGCTTATTAATCGAAACAGAAGGCTTTGGCGATATTTTACTTACAGAAATGGGAGTGACATTTTCTGAATCCTTGAAGGAATGCCTAAAAAACGTTCAGACTAGAATTTTGATTTCGGTCAACTGATGGTCACCATTTTGAATTGAATATGAAAAAAAGTGAAAAATCCAAGTGAAAATAAACACAATAGGCCGTAGTTTGGAGAAATCGTCTCCTATTTCCAAAATGAATACATATCTGGATAGCCGAGATCAGGGTCGAATTTTTGGTATTTGAAAATTTTAAAATTCCGAATTTCTCCTTTGACCTATTTCGTGCCAACAAAGTTATTTACAGGTCAATCTGATTCCAAATATATAAGTTCCATTTAAAGTTATTTCAATTATTTTTTCGATATTTTCCCGCCATTTTTCAGTTCTTTTCTGCAATTTTCATTTCATATTCTGATTCCTTTTTTTTCTGCAACTTCTGGAACGGGAAGTCAATCTTATTACAGCAATACAAGTCTTAGTTATTTCCCTTTACTTTTCAGATAATTTTTTCCACCAGGGTGAAATGTTTCTCGCTTTATTTGGGCTTATAACTTTGCGAATTTTTGATCGATTTTAATAATTACTTTTTCTTGTTCTCTTTTCTTTTAAGATTCTTGATATAATCCATGACATGTGACTTACGTTGAATAGGAAAGCCTTCATATCTATATCTGCATGGCACAGTAGCAAATCTAGTTATTATTATTATCGTGGTGTATTATATAAGGTCCATGTTATTATTAACAAAGTGAAGCATGGGCCATAAGCCCATAACTCTAGATGTAATAAATGGAAATTGCTGAAATTCAATAGACTTCATCATTTCACTAATTCAAATTATGCATATAAATTTCATGCAAATCAGATGATAAATTTTGTTGTTAGAGCGTTCACATAGAGCAACAAAGTGAAACAACAGCCATAACTTCAGAAGAAATTAACGGAAATTAATGAAATTAAAGAGGCTTCTTCATCTCACTAATGTAAACAACATATATCAATTTCAAAACAATCAGATGATAAATGTAGTCTGTAGAGTGTGCACAAGAAATTGTGGACGATGGACAGACAGGATCGATGGCATATACGACCACATTTCCATGTGGGCATATAAAAATGAAATATAAAACATTGATTGAAAAAATAAATTTTGCAATATCTCACAAATGTTTATGGTAACAGACTTCATCAATCTGATTAAAATACAGATCTATATTTTATGATCAGTAGTGGAATACCGCGTTTTATCAGTGAAATAAAAGTGTTATTCCACTGGCTAGTTGTTTTTACCTAAAATGATTGTAAAATCATAAAATAAATAGAACATTTGTTGTTTTAGAGTGAATAACATATTTTATTTCATCTCTAAGCAAGAAAACGTTTATATTTTCACTCATGCTACGCATTCGTGAAAATATAAGTTTTCTTGCTTCTCGATGAAATAAAATATGTTATTCACTCTAAAACAACAAATATCCTGTATATATTTAGTTTTGTTTTTTGATACTTTCGATGGCCTACTCTACATGAAGACCTGACCGGTTGTAGTGATAGGTTGCGTCGAGAGGTGAGTCATAAGAGCGGCTTTGACCCAATGACATCAGACATTGATAAATCAACCAGCGTTGCCATCTCTAGTGGTTTACCCTAGTGATGATATTTTCCCCTTATATTCCGGACACGCCCGCCCCCATGCTATTTTCCAAACATCCTAAATTGTACAACCAGGTATATGCCCAATCGGACATCAAGACATGGTGAATAATATTCAAAATTCCAAAATTAATATAGTGTACTGAGTGTATAACTATCATTCAACCCGATTATCATTGATAATAGACTGCATGGATTGATTAGGTAATTAAGTGATCGGCGTCTTTATCGTGTTATACCGTCTTATACACCTACGAGTATATGTCACTAACACTATATAACACCCCAAATCAATATACATTGTATCCGATAACTTGTCTGTGATATTTCTTCGGTGGAAGCCGAAGGTAAATAAAGCTATTTCACACGGGCCTCAATTTCACACACACGCATATCTGATCAATACAAGACTGTTTCTGATCGCATGTGGAGTTTATAAGTACCATAACTGAAATATTAGTAGAAATCTTGCGAGACACATGAAATTTAGAGATGTAAACGTGCCAAATATCACACGTCTAAAGATTCTATTTTGATGGCATATTCTCGGATTTATGATCATATTTTGAATGGGGTTTATGTTTTTAAATAAATAAATTAACATGCTAAGAAATGTTGACGAATATTTCAATTGGAATTATATAAGTAGTTAATTGTTTTAGACGATAGCGCGTGCTAGAGTCGATGGCGATTATTTAGCAGATGTCACTCGCTCATTGTGGTAGAGCGACGGTTACTGCCAAATAAATTTCGGGTTGTCGGTTTTTTTAAACTACCGTAATTAAGTCGAAACGAAGTATAAGACGATTGCCAGACTTCCGCTGAAAAATGTATCGACTCATACCCCGAAAAATATGTTAATTTTGGAGGAATTTGAAATAGGTACGCTTTCATGCCATCGTATTACGACAACACGTAATTAGGTAGGAATATTACGGACATAAATTTGAATACCGTACGGGAATTAAATATGAAAAATAACAAGGTGCATCTATTTTTTATTACGTATGAATTTGAATATTTTTTGACACATGATTTTTAATTGTGGTGTGAAAATGCCTACTTGAATAACGATAAGAGTTATGCCCCTTTTTTTTAGGGGAAAATGTCCGACAAGAAAAATTTTGAAATCCCATCACTGGTTTACCCACAGTTCCGTGCACGGAACGCCAAGAACTCGCTGTAACAGACAGCTTCATTGGCTAATCCCACACATTAACTAGAACACGGCTTATATAATAACTCTTCCAGATCCTAGTGTAGTAAAGACAAGTGAATTGAAATTTTGAACTATAAAAAACGAAACGAAATAGAATCTGTGTTTTAATCAGATTGAGACTTCATAAATATTTTGGCAACCCATCGTTATTATACAACAGGATGCAATAATTTAGTCATTTACCTCTAAATTTTGTTCATAACCACCCGTATTATCAGTTTCTTCATTTACATTTGGTGATATCCACACATAACCATTATTACCTAATATAATAGATGCTCCACATGGCAAATTATGAAAATGGGTTTTTCGTCTTTTAATTAGAGAAGGAGATATGGAAAGTAAAGTCCCTTGACCAAGCTAAAATGAAAATAAATAGATCACACTCATTAATTACTTGCACAATTATCTTTTCATAAGCAATCACTCTTAACCTGAACAGAAAATTAAAATATTTATTATCAAACTTAAAAGTACATGTACTGATGTGATGACTAACACGTTTTAAAAATTCCCTGGATCTCCAAAAGGCAGGGGACAATAAAGAAGCACTATACTGATCACATGGATAAGCCTGAACCTTATAGATTGGTTTGGAAATCGTTGGGTTTTCTTGCTATTTTCCATTGCTTGTTTTATTCAAACTTACCACACTATGTATATGTATATATATATAAGAAAAAAAATATATAAAACGATCTAACTCTCAGTTAAACATATGATATAAGTAAAATTCAAGTATTAGAGAAAAATCACTAAAAATTAAAATTTTGGCTAGTACTTTCATCGTTTCATTTTTAACCAGAGTACATAAACCACCCTGTGGTAGCTACCATTATAGTCTATCATTAAACATGCATAACAAACTACCCAAATATGTCTTAGCTCTCAACAAAACTGTCAATAGTCCAGTAAGATGAGAGCTTAATGATCTAACTCTAGGTTATTTGTTTTGAATTTCAATTTAAAATTGTTACACTTACTTTGCCATACTTTAAACTCCTTGTGTGAAGTGATAAACAACCATCTCCCATAATATTCTGAACTTCAGCCTGTTCCATTAATTAAAGAAATACAAAATAAAATATTTCTGATGAATAGAATGGTAACAAATTTGACCAAATCATATACATCTATATTGGCAGCAATCTAAGTGTTGTTGTGGCGAGTGGGTGCGGGAATGTATAAAAGCAGATGCATAATTTCCTCAGGAGAAGTCTTCCTTTTTTCTGTCTTTACTTTGTGACAAACATCTGAATTTTCATCAAAAGAAGCGTCCCTACTTATAGTATATTATAAACCTGTAACGGTAAATCTCTTTGATCTTTGGGGTATATTCTATACCCGGAATAACTTGCGGTCTGAAAGTCGGGCGCGGCTTTGGATATATACAGGGAAATTTGGGGTTATTCTTCTGAAAGTTTTTCTTTAAACCTGTACCGGGTTATTCTTTCAGGGTAAGGTTTTTTTTCCATAAGAAAACATGATATAAGGCTTTTCTTACGGGAATTCTGAGATATTCTCATCTTGCGTACATGTAAACATAGACGGTTTATAAGCAAGATAAAGTCCTCGATATCGGTTATGCTGGGGAAGAAAGACTTCAGAAAAAACCCTCGACAGAAAATCCCCGGCTTGCCGGCCTCGGTTTTTCTTTCTCTCTGGTTATTTTCTTCAGTCTTTCTTTCCCCAGCATAACCTCAGTCTCGTGCTTTATCCTACACATAATTAACCGAATCCAAAATAGATGTGGCGTCATCGAAATCGGAACTCACAGCTAAATTCAGTCAAAGTATTTTTGTTGTGAAGGACGCCATTCCTCGGCTGTTCGGACTATTGATGGTGATAAACACTTGTGATATACACCATCTAACCATCTAAGGTTAAAAACATGCTTTTACAGGGGAGTAAACCATGTTAAATAAAATTCCTGACTATCGTGGAGATTAGCTCAGGATGGGTTAAAGCATTTTAAGAACACACCATGAAATTAGAAAGAGAAGTGTTAACAAACCGAGTCCTATTGGATACACTAACATATTGTACAAATTTTTATTTCAATAATTCACTTGTGCGTAGAGGTCTTTAGCAGTGCGACCCAGTTAAAACCCATGAGGTTGGGCAGGCAATCCTACTCATTGTCACATACAAGCTTGGCATTGAAACCAAGCCACATGACTCCAAGACGGACGTTATGATCTAAAACGCACACATTGGGCCACTAAACCACTTGATCATAGAACCCCCTTCTAGTTAATCTTGACTGTATCATGCTGCAAAGGTTTCCTTTTTTACAGTATACTGATATTCTAAAACAAAAGGATACACTAATAAGATCGCCTTCTTTAAGATAATGTCTCATTAACTTTTCATCTTCTTCTGATCTCCTCCTCTGGGAAATACAAATTATATCTAATTTTTTTAAAAAATCATAGCAATGTACAAGTTTTATGATAATTATTATGAAAATATTTAACATAATTATATTATATGTTGCATTATAGACAACATCTAAACATAAAAGCTAAATTATAACAAATTTTATTTATTGCATCAGTTGAAATGACATACAGTATGTTTGTGACTGCTGCAAACAAATTTAGACCCTTGGGTCACTTCACCAAAATTGAGTTCTATACATCTCCTGAAAGCCACAACTGTAGGCTTTAAAATGTAGCAAAAATTGATGTTTGGTCTACTAGCAGTCATTGTTGTTTTATTTCAGAGAAGAGCCAAAAAAAGCTCCCTTTAATCAACGAATTGAAAAAATCCCTCCTCTCAAAAAACTCTCCCAGTTTTGATAAGAAGAGTGATTTAGAAATTAATCATGAGTGATCTGGTATTAAGGAGAATGATTAGTTATGTCCATGGGAAATGGTTCTAAGATCAATAACTGCGTGTAATGGGGTCATTCCTGGTTTCATAAATGATAATAAACCCCCAATGACAATGTAAAGGAGAGCGATTTTCAGTTTTAAGGAGAGGGGGGAAAAAACTCCCCTCAGTCGACCCATTCAGGTGAGCGGCAGGTGCTCGAGAGCGATCGCTCACCTTAAAAAACAATGACTGTACTAGTTGTAAAATTATCTGACATGAAATAGACCACTAATTTCGATTGTTTAGAGAGAATCTTGATGAAGTATGATTCAACTTCCCTTATTAAAATCAATCTTTGAGGCATTTAGAGTTCAAATAATTAAAAATGATTTAAAATTCTGAAAAAAACATTTTATGATAACTGAAAATCAATAATTTTACCACTGACTGCAGTATATAGCACTAAATGAATATAGCACTAAATGAATGAGTGCGACTTCCAACTGATTTTGCTGGCACTGGTACTGCTGCATGAATACATGATTTTTTTCTTTTTTAAATATGTTCATTCTTTTTGTATGGAATTTGGTTCCTGGGCTAATTTATACATGGGTTACGCAAACTATAATATTATCACTGAGCGTCACATTGGGATAAATTTCAGACCCTGTATAAATGATGGTATAAAACAACTCACCAATTCACCACCTGGTAAATTAACGGATGACAACATTAAAACTGAATTAAGTTTAGAATGTGTTTCAACTTTCCATCTTCTCTGACAAACTTCTATAATTCTACCTATAACAACATCTCCTATTTCACCATTATACCTGTACATAAAAAAACATACAAGATAATATAACCCCCAAATTAATGGCTCTTAAAATCATCATCACAATTGAAAGTTGAAAATGAACATTTTGTCCGAGTGAACAAAACATATACACGCAATGAGACACATATATGTATGATACATGTACAGTACTAACACTGAAGAAAATTTTTACCAAGCTTCAAATCAAACCATATATATAAGTTAGTTATACCATGGACCTTATAATACTGTATAAGGTCCATGGTTATACATGCACAGATAAACTTAGTTTGGGTTTAGTTGAAAATATTTACTGAAGATAAATTATGTTGAAAAAACAACATTTATCATAAGATGAAAAAATACATTGTTGACATGTTGTATCTCTCACCTTGTCTTTAATGGTTTAACACAAATAAGTTTATTTACACGTTCTACCACACCAGCCACTGAAGCATGAAGCTTCTCATTTTCCATGAAAGTTCCATGTCCTCTGAAATAAATATAATTTAATTTTAATGTTTTACTTACAAATACAGAAAAAACAGATACGTTTTGTCACATGTCCAATTTAGTGTAGGACAATAAATACATAAAGCCGTATACAACAAGGGGGCGTATATTTCACAGCATGTTGTGTCGCACACACTGACTCTAGCGAGGTAAGCAAGGTCTTATTTTCTCACTAAAATTTTCCTTTTTACTTTGTTCCGCAGTCACAGAGACTGACACACGACCTTTTAGCAGTAAAACGTTGCCCAGTAAAATTGACTGTAGGCTGATTCTTTTTCGACAAGGATTCAATAGGGCGGTTCCTGAACATACCGTATTGAGACCTACAATGTTATGTACGTTCAGAGCAGAACTACTCAGTAGTCAGTACCGTACCCAGGCAATGCTTGTTACATATTATCACTGCATTCCGAGCACCTGTTGCCATGGGCGTGGATTTAGGGGGGGGGGGGGCGGATCCCTCCTTAATAACGGAAGGGGGGGACGAATAGGTCTCTGTCCCCCCCCCCCCCCATGATTTTGATCACCAGGACAGATTTTTAGGTTTATATCCACATGAATGGGTCTCGCTACAGTAATTCATCTTCACGATATCTTCCTCCTTAATGTAGGTAGTCAATTTTACCATATCGTCATCATATTAACCCTAGTTACAGCTTTCATCGAGATAACACTGGTAAACTGTTCGTAAAATTATTATTTTGGTTTGGTAATGAAAGGTTCCATGGTTCGTCCGTCCCCCCCCCCCCCAAAAAAAAAAACGTTATGGCAAATCAACGCCCTTGACAGGCGATTCCGGTGTTTGTAGTGGTACCTCATAAACCCAGTATCTGTTGTGATAATATCCCCAGGTGTGACAAGGTTCTGAATCTCTTCAACTGTTTCGATATTATCTTTTTTACCACGTGCTCCAACAAACCGAATGTCAACAGTCGCCATGATTGTTTTCTTTTTTTGTTGTCCAGACGTGTAATGATTTTCAATAACCAGAGTTATGTCCCCTACATAATGCTTTCATAATCCATAATAAACGGACATGGATCATAGTTAATAGAGTTAATAGCATATTTCTTGAGTTGAAATGTAAATAATTTGTACATAGAAGAGAAACTAGGCAATATCAGCATGAATACCGGTAACCTAAATGAAGTGACTAAACAAATGTCAGAAAAATATCCCGTAAGTAGAATTGGTGCAGAATTCCAAATCACCAAATGTTCTTCTCAATCTCAAACAAAGTAAAAGTTAAAAATAAAATTAAGTTCTCTTCTTTTATTTTGATTAGATAGATCTCAGGAACTGTTTGTCCTCAGTTTCACTGGCCGGAATAGGGGAGCCACAGTGGCTAAGTGGATAAAGCAGTGTAATTTTATTCGGCCGAATGGGTGGACACACTATAGCCGAATGCTTCGCCCGATTTAACCTGCTGATTGCATCACCTTTCACATCACATGATTAAACATGGGGGCGTCTATGTCTTCAATCTATCATGTGACTTTTCGATATGAGTGGTGATTGGCTAATGAATTCTATATTCGGCCGAATGCTTCAGCGAAGCAGACACACCAGGCGAATATAATTCGCCTGAATAAATATTCATATTTGCCTGAATAAATATTGGGCCGAATATATCAAACCTGTTTGATTCGGGCGAATCATTCGGCCGAATGACAGTGGACACACTAGGCGAATTTCGGAGCTGATTGATTTGGCCGAACGATTCGGCCGAATCATTCGGCTAGTGTACGTGTCCACCGCTTAAGACTAGAACGCTGGCTCGCTAGCCTGGAGGTGGCCTGTTCGATCCCTGCATTGGCCAAGAAAGTTCATCAGGATTTTCCAATGTGGTTTCCCCTCGTTAGTGGTGCAGGACAGAGGAGATGGCCTGACAAGGATAGCTGTCTAGTTGTTCGGATGTGACGGAAAACCGATGTCCCATATATACATTGGCGTGCACATAAAAGATCCCATGGCAGTTGGAATTCGATATAAGCGTAGGCCATAGTGCTGCTGCCCGGGCAAAATTTACCTCATAGCACACAGTATGGCGTATGCCCATGATCATTAGCCCAGTATAGGTGCGGAACAGTAGGACATTAATCCTTTCATTTCATTTACTGGGAAAATGATCAGGCTATTTTTAACATTCTGCAACAGTGCGAAATGTCCAAAATCACTGAAGTTGTCATTTTTAAAAATGTTGTATACATGTACTTTAAACATATTCCCGGGAGCATTACTATATTACAACCCCTTCAATTTACAAATGTATTATAGACAATATTAGTTCGACCCTAGCTTAAGGTAGGCTCGCAAATTCCTTGCGGGAAGCACGGCAAAGCACGATGTACTTTTACCGAAACACGGTGAATTCCTAGAGAAACACGGTGAATTCCTAGAGAAAACACGGTGAATTCCTAGAGAAACACGGTGAATTCCTAGAGAAACACGGCGAATTCCTAGAGAAACACGGCGAATCTTAGAGAAAAATCGCCGCGGAATTAAGCGAAATTTCACCGTGAAATCTAAGAGAATTCGGAGTGTTTTTTTTCGCCGCGTCGGCGCGATTCTGGTCTCAAAAATTTGGTAGGAACTGTATTAAAGGACCATCCCAATTTTAATAGTCTCAGAAATAAAAGTTTGTGAATGTATGAAATTTAAGTGCCAAAATATAGAGGAAAGGTGTATTTACCTTGTCTCAAAATTTCAGCTCAAAATATTTAGTCATTTGGACGTGAATGTCAAATCCGCTTATCCGGGCACATAACCCTTTTAATATTTCGGGCACATTTTTTCGTTAGGTGACTTGATAATCTATTGCCGTTCCTTTAGATGTCTATACAGTGCTTGACCAACACGCTGTACTTGATAATAAAAGGAAAATTTCACCTTTATATTATAGAATAAAAGTATGGTTTTATTTTTATCCAGACACCATATTATATAGCTTGGCATATCGGTCTCCATTTCTAGATGAAGACTGACTGGTTTAAGTTGTTTGAAAACAGAGGATTTTAAAAGCTTTTAACACAAAATTAAGCAGTTTTATTCTCCATTGCATTAATCCATATGAAGACATTGTGTGTTAAAATCAGTTTGTAATATGAGTAGTTGCTGAGAATTAGGCAATTTTGCATGAGTCACTTTTCACGTTATTTTGCCTGTAAATGACTTAGTTGTAGTATAATCCAAGTTCCCATTTTCACTGTCCCCGGAAATGGCATCATTTGAGCAAAAACTGTATTTTTAGCCTTCAAAACAAATATTTTATTAAACTGAGTCGTATTTGTAATTTGTTTATAATTAAGATATTTGCTTCCAATCAACAAATAAAATGAACCCATACAGATATCACTAAATGGTTTCTATCTTGATCAGTTGCGGTGAAATAGATGATTTTCTACAAGACAAGTCGCTTTTCAAGGTTTTTGGTCCATAAAAGTGTCAGTTATTATTAGATTTAATCATTTTCAAAAAATTTTCACTGTGTGATGCCTAATGCCATTTACGATTTCCTAAAACTGACATAACATTTTCATTATCACCAGAACTAATGTCAATTTGGCAAAAACTGTATTTTAAGCCTCCAAAACAAATAATTGTTTGAAATAAGTGATATTCATTATTCGTATAAAATTATGATATTTGATTTCAATGAACAAATCAATACAATCATATATGTATCAAAAAAGTGTTTCTAGCCTCTTCCCTTGCTGAGAAATTACCAATATTGTCAGGATCACTTTTTAAGGATTTTCACATTTTGATAAGGCTTTATCAAGGGTTAATTCTGTTCAAATTTTTGATCAATTTTCTGTCATGCAAAGGACAATCGAAGTGGTTATTTCTGTAATCCAATTTAAATATTTTGTTGATGTCATTGTGACAAGTCTTTGTTGTATAAATGGAACTGATATTGCTGGATTTATTGGCCAATTCTGCATCCACTGTATAACATGTGTCCAGTACTCTGCATTGTGCATCCACTGTATATCATGTGTCCAGTACTCATGTGGAAATCTGTTCAACGTATCCATTGGTATGGGAAGTGACATCAGTTCAAGGATAAAGTGGCACCAGTGAAATCTGTCATTACTGCATTGCAGTTCTAGTTAAAATTGTTCAATATATTATACAGGTCACAATGGTATGGAATAACCATTAGTTGTGGATGACTTAACCAATACCTTGTTGATGACTTCTGGTTGTGGACGAGTTTGCTTGTGGATGACTTAACTAGCACCCTCAATAAATATGTTTCACCCTTTCTGCATCATTAGCACTATTACCATAGAAATGAGCTGATAATTATGACATAAGAAAGATCAATGTTGTTATTCTCTAAACTCTATGGAGTTGACCCATAGAGTTGATTTAACTTTATTATAATCAGAGCTATTTTGAAAAATTGAGACTAAATTCTAATTTTTGAACAAGTCAGTAGGCAGTATAACGACTACTTCAACTTCACTATGTATGGTTTTCTCATCATAGTCAGTAGTAGGCCTATTAAAAATTCATTTGCAATTGGTTAACTGAAAAGCATGTTTGCGAAATTGAAAAGTATTAAATTCTCAAATTTGGTAAACTGCCAAACATTTTGATTATCAATCAAATTCAATAATATATTTATTGTAGCTGATTCACTCTGCTACATGTATATCTACATATTGATGTTTGTGGTTCTATGCAGTCTGTCATTTGCTAAAAATAGGCATCAGCGTTTTTGTAAAATGTCATTACAGTACACTACAGTTTAATTTATTTGTCTCAAAACGTTTTACCTTTCAGCACTATAACACATATAAAAAATGTCAATCACAAACCTTTATGACAGGACTGCTAACATTCGTCACAGGTAAGTTTCAGTTTACTAATATATACTTGGTAATTTAAAATATATTTTTAACATTTTTAGCACATCTCTTTTTTTTGACATCTTTTTTTAGGAAAAAAATATTTTTAGTAAGAGAATGGAATAATCAATAAGCATATCATTTTACAACACTAAATGAGTATTGTCATATTTTGCATGTAGGTTATAATCTATAAAATCTTTCTCATCTTAAGGAACTGCTGCAGTCTATCTTGTTCAAGATGTGCTTAAAACTAAATTACCCTATGAGAAAAAATCTATTTTGATGGTCTCCTTAGGAGTAGCAACTATAATATCCTATTTTGTCACAAGGAAAAATACAAAGTTATGCCAGGAGATGTGGATGGCCCTTGAAGATAAACATACAGCTATTAATCCAATTGAAGGTGCTTTTTAAAATATATTTTATAGAAAACAAAATGATTTACTTTGACAAGTTATTAACATGGTATTTATTAACATGTGTCTTTTCATTCTTGCAAAGTCTATTATCAGAAATATAATTTTTTTAATTTTAGTATATTTTTATAATAAGCCTCTACTATCAATAATATTTTTGTTGAATTTGATGTATATTTCACAATTTTTAAAGTGTATTATGATACCCACATGTTTATGTGCTCGCTTATTGTTGTCGATTCGTTCTTTGGTACAATTTTAATCAAATTTTCAGAAATAGTTTGTATTGGGATAAATATGGTCCTTATCGATTTTTCATGAAATGAGTTCTAGAATTATTGTCCCTAAAGCACACGACTATCAATAAAGGTACATGTATGTTACAGTGTGCACTCACTAAATACAGAGTTCAATTCTTGACAGGGGTTGGATGGGCTGAATGGTTAGCGTGCGCGCTGTATCATAAAGTCTGTCACTCAGTTGACTGGCGTGGTTTCGAATCCCCGGTTGTACATGACAAAGAGTAGGGTCACCTGTCCAACCTCGTGGGTTTTCTCCGTGTTCTCCCACTGATAAAGAGCCCTACGCGCAAGTAAATTATTGAAATAAAATTAAACCTAGTTTGTGTCAAGTGGACATTAAACCCCATTTCTCTCTCTCTCTCTCTCTCTCTCTCTCAATTCTTGACAGGAGTACATGTAGTTAGTGTTAGGGTACAGACTGTTCGTGTTGTTTTTGAAAGTTTTCTCCAAAGTATATCCAGAGATTTTTAAACACAAACAAAGCAGCTGCTACCTTGCATGGCAGGGAATATTCGAATCTGGTATATATCATTCATGTATATTACGCCTTGTGTTTTTTATTCCAGAAAGAGTGTCTAAAGAAGCTACCAAATGAATATCTTGTGTTCCCAGTAATTATTATGCCAGTTGGAGGCAGACCACCATTAAATTTCACCAATTCTCTCTCTCTCTCTCCTTTTGCATGGGCATTTTTGTTGATATCTTGGTCTAGAATGGAAAAAGAGAGTTTGAATTATCATTTTCTGCCAGGTTTTGGTAAATATTCATAATTTAGAGGTGGAAGGATAACAGAGTTAACAGGTTGGTTACCGTAATACGCACAGGGATTGGTTACATGTTTTTAGTAAGATGCTACTTCAAGTTTGTGTAGGGTATCTCAAAATTTTGATGGTCAACCTCATACAAAATTTGGTGCAAAGACATGACCATTTGCTTCTCTGTCTGTAATGAAAAGCATTCAGCCCAGCAAAAATTTGGGGAAAAGTTGGAGCCGGAATTAACATTGAAGTCAATGCGGAAATTAATGGTGGCCTGCCTCCAGTTGGCTTAAAGATGGGTTCCCAGAAAAGTATTTATCAGGTGGTTATTTCCAATAAAAGTATGGCAATTTTGGTATATATGGAAAGTAGAGATATCCAATCTTACTAGAAAAATACTGGATTTTGCGAAAAACATTCATGGAGCGTATACAGGCCAAAAATGTAAGGGTTCCCCTAATCAACAGCCCGACGATTAGAAACTTCTGCACGCGTCATGTCAAAGGTCACAAGCGAACATTGAGCGCATGATGTACACGTTGATAAACTTTATGAAGAGTTAGACGTACAATACTTTCTGAGATAAAAATGACGGGAAAAGACACAGGTAGTGGATAACCCGAGAATTTAATTAGGATTCGATATTTGTAATAAATAGTATTAGTAAACGATTAAAGACAACATCGTCTTATGTATGCAATGAATTCTCCTCTGACTCCCAAGACGTGACGTAAACATGACCTGGTTTGATCGAATTTTAATAGCAGGGCATTCCTTCGCAATTACAATGTTTGAGAAGGATTTGAAGCATAATTATGACAAACTAATTAGTTTGAATATGTTTTTGGTCCATATATACCATTAAATCACCCATTTTGTACGCGGGAACCCATCTTTAACAGTAGTTGTCTCCCATTTATACAGACAAATGTGGTGATCTCATTAAATTTCGAGGAGGCATTGGCTAAATGTTACAATATAACAATTTTATATGAATCATCAAGAACAAGGGAACTAAAAACAATCAATTGTGAAAAATTCGAAACAGACATGTAAAAACTTAATAAGATGTTTTTTCTAGGATTTGTTGAGGGAGATTTAAATTCACCCAGCTTTATAGCATATAATATTGTGTGGAGTGATAATTAGTCAGAGTTACAGATCAAAATTAGTTAAAAATTTGATTTGAAAATCGCAGAGGACACTTTAATGAATATTTTATTATTACATAGAAATATATTTATAATGTATATTATGATTATAGTCGTACAGTAAATATAATAAAGTATAGATTTTCGATGTCTTGTAGTTTTTAACACATGCTAAATTATTAGTGTCTGACAGGTTATAATTAAGACAGTGGGTAGGGTCTGACCTTTTATAATTAGGGCAGAGGGTGGGTATCTTGGCAGGAATGGAACAGTAATATGAATTACAGAATAAAATATGTAAGACCCTATCCAGTAACCGATCTAATTTTAGTCGCAAACTCAAGATGCTATATGAGGGAAAAAGCGTTCCGGGTAGCAAACATGGAGTGTGTGCCAGGCAGTCTAAGCCTTTGTGTTTTATCGATATTGTGTATAGTATTCAGTAGTTTTCGGTGGTTAGCCATCCTGTTAGAACAGGAGAGATGACATTGTGTTAATTTAAACTGCAGTGTCATGGAGACGGGCATACGCCATATAGTGTGCTATGAGGGAAATTTTGCCCGGGCAGTGGCGCTACGGCCTACTCTTATATCGAAGTCCAACTGCCAAGGGATCTTTTACGTGGACGCCAATCTGTACACAGGACCTCGGTTTTTTGTCACATTTGAACGACTAGACAGTTGGCCTTGTCAGGCCCTCCGTCCTGCATCACTGACAAGGGGGAACCACGCCGGAAAATCTCGATGAACTTTCTCGGCCAATGCAGGAATTGGAACACCCGACCTCCAAGCTAGCGAGCCAGCGCCTTACCAACTTAGCCACCATGATCCCAAATGTAGCTGTTACAGTTGAACTGTTATAGGGGCATGCCATGTCAAATGTACACACTTTTATGACACTATGTCACCGATTTTGGCTTAACTTGCAGGGATTGTTGTCCACCTGGAAAGAAAACATTGTCCAAAGTTTTGGGTCATGGGGCCTGATGGGATCCATTTTATGGGTCACCAAAGATTTCTGCCATCCGACTGACTTCGAAACTTCAATCAGCCATAACTCAACCCAGAGTTGTCCGATCTCGATGATATTGGTATCAAAATACGCAGCAAACTGAACCCTTTCATTTCATGCACGATGTTCTGCGATGATTTTTTCCGAAAAACATCTTTTTGTTTGACCTTGACCCTCTACCAGGATCACAAATCGATCAGGCCATCTTTTTGCCCCAAAATAACATATCCTATAATTGGCATACACACCAAAAATCAGAGTGTGATCTCCATGGGAACACGGTCAAAATGATCACCAAAGATGGGTACCCCTACATGCTGTCCGCTTAAGCCGTCACATAGTTTTCCAAACTGCACGCAGCGTTCCATCTACGTCATACTTCGAGAATAATGATCACTGCCCTAGTTAGCCTCCATTTATAACGAGCAGAACAGTAGGACGTTAAACCCCATTTCATTTCATTTCCATTTATAACGCTCACGTGATCATTTTGGGGCGGGACTTATCGACTGGACTACAGCTTTGTGTACACAACAGAGTAAAAATAACCCGATCAAGCACGTGTTTTATGTAAATACATGTCATTGGCAAAACATCAACTTCTTCCACTCCGGTAAAAGCGATATATAATATGTGCTAGTGTGTAATATTGCAATACATTCTTTGCCACTGTAAACTGTCTTTAGAGTTTCAATCTGTTTATCTTTCAAAACAAGGTTAGATACTCCTAAATTTGTCTTGGCAAACAAAACCGCCTCTGTGAAATTATGTTTCATGGCAATCTTGGGCGCCGCCATATTGAATAATTAGAGGACTATTTTGTGATTCGGCTTTGATTAGTTTGACATCTTTCATACACACAGCGGCTAAATAAACATATTTAATTTCATTCAATATGACAATAGAAGAGAAATAAATACTTCTAAAAAATACTAAAAGCAGTGTTTTCGACTAAAATCGTCGATGTAGGAATTAAAATGTCGGTTAATTAGCTTAGGGCCTGTTCTCAGGCGGAGCTAGCTGTAGACAGACAGCGTAAGTTTGGGATGATAGTTTTTACCACAAGAGAACATTATTGTAATCAATGTCTCTTTGACAGAGCTTTACTTGATTCGGTCATTTCACGTTCAGAATGTCTATAGGTACATCCTGTCTCTGTTGTTGGTTCGACTGATAACAGTATGTCCGATTTATCTACTCGTAGCACCAATTCATCTGGGATCCATAAAGTTAATCTTAATTTCCCCGGTTTCCTGCCGGAATTCCGTAATATAATCCAGCCACCAATGTCTGTCATATTGAGCAGTGACGTAGCCAGTTGAATTTCCGATGAATAATGGGGCTGAAGCCACATAGGTTACAGCCTCAATCTGTTCATCCTCATTATTGCTGTATTCACGTACAGAAACTGTTGACTCGGATACCTGGACTATGGCATGTAATTTCTGCATTCCGGCGAGGGTCTTTGCCAGTTGTAATCTTGGTTCAATTGCTAGGCGTTCGGAATCGTAATCCTCCTTAGTTTTTGTGAAATCAAATCGCATGCTTTTCGAATTCATACAGAAGTTTTGGACTCTGACTTTCGTATGGACGCCTCAAACTGTCCTTAGCAGCCTCGCGTTTGATTGTGCCCTTCCACGCCATCA